CGACCATAAAGTGACGTTTCGTGATATTTTTATGCGCTCATGACATTTTTTTTTACCAGTATGGTGGTGACGATCAGCGTCTTGTTAGCCAGCGTCTCTGAGGCGTTCAGGTCCAGAGACGTTGAGTTCATGATCAGCGTGTTGTTGGAGTACCAGGTCCCAATCTGGAAGGAAAAAAAACGTGTTTTTAATACTTTAATGTTTCAACGTTGAACCTTTACAGAACTTAAGTTTTAAAAGTCTCATGAAGTGAATGGATTTTACTGAAAGTCTAAGCTTTACACCATTCTTATTCCTTTTTTATGTAGATTATATGTGTTGTGTGTGTGTATATCAAGGAAGATTTTCATTGTAAATAACACTGTAAAAAGTATTAAAGAACACTTTTTATACAATGACACTATCATATATAGATTGAGGACCTTTTTAATGTTATAAACAAACAAAACACCCTTTTTGATGTGGATAACTCTGTTAATTAAGGACCCTCTTTTTAATAAGTGGCACTGTTGCATGTAAATAAAGGATCCTCTTTTGTTCTAAACACACTTCTCATTGAAAACTGAGGACCCTTTTAAAGACCATATTTTAATGTGAGTAATACTATCTGTAAAGTGAGGACCCTTTAGTGTAAATATATTTTTTTTTTGTAAATTGAGGACATTGTTCTAATGTAAATAACACTATTGTATGTAGACGAAGACTACTTTTTAATCTAAATTAATGCTGTATGAAAATGAAGACTACTTTTTCATGTTAATAATACTGTTATATGTAGATTGAGGACCTTTTTAATGTTATAAACAAACAAACAACCGTTTTTGATGTAGAGAGCTCTGTTGATTATGGACCCTCTTTTTGATAAGGAGCACTGTTGCCTGTAAATAAAGGACCCTGCTTTTTAATTCTAATTACACTTCTGAATGAAAATGGAGGACCCTTTTTCAATGCAGCTTAAACTTTTGTATATCAATAAAGACCATATTTTAATGTGAATTATACTGTCTGTAAAGTGAGGACCTTTTAGTGTAAATATCATTTTTGTGTCTAAATTGAGGACTTTGTTTTACTGTAAATACTATTGTCTGTAGATGAAGACTACTTTTTCGTGACTGTTGTATGTAAATAAAGAACCATTTTTACTGTTTACAAGTGTCTTATGGGGACATAACTGCTAAAACATGACATCATGCCCGTCTGGATATTGTCCACAACAAGATTAACGGTAAATAACATGTACTCTTATGTTCTGGGTTACTTATAGTCCCAGTGAGAATATGTCTTTCATAGAATTTGTGATGCCAAGAAATTGAGTATTTGTTAGCTGATGGCCGTATTAGTAAGGAAAAACCGGCAGCCTGTCTGAAAAAGCTCTTATCATTTAGAATTAACTGATTTGTTGAATTTATTATTAAACTTTTAACAATCACAGAGATGAAAAAGTAAAAAAGAAAGGTGGCAGAAAGCAGCAAAGTGGACAAATTCAACAAACAAACAAACAGGTGAAATGAAAACCATGTGTTCAGAGAGTCACAGAGCCCGACATTAAGGAGGAAGATGAATCATCCTCGCCTCTGAATCAATGCTGGATCAATGAGGGACGGTCCGGCTCCTCCCGCCTCACTCAGCAGGTTAAATAAGGTCATGAATACACACTGAAGCACGTTAACCGTCATCTGCTGACCTGATACCACCCCCGGTCCTGCCCCGACCTCTGACCTCACCTGACCTCCTCTTTATTTGTGTATTTATCAGCAGTTAGGGTGCTGTGCTGTCTCCCAGGGGACAGGAAGATGAAGAGCGGGGGGGGCGCTCCTTCCTCAGTCTAATAAAGAAAACTAAACTGTGCGTCCCAAATCGTCTTAGTGTCAGAGTCATGATTTTAATAAAGTGGGTCTGCCCGTAGATTGTGTAATAGATGGACTTATTGTCGGTGATGTAACCCGTTTGTTTGTGAAATGCTGACTCAACATTTTAATCAACCTTCTCCTCGTAAACAGCGACAGCGTGCCCACCTGTCAATCAAGTCAGCCCTGCCACTGATTCGCCATTAAAGAAATGAACTCCTCCTACAGTGTCTTTCATCCTTTCGAACCAGGCTGTAAATGTGCTGACTGTTGCTATGTGTAAACCAGGTTTTTGCAGACAGCCTCAAGTGGACACTCTGGGAACTGCAGGTCTTAGCACACTCAGGTTAGCTTCATTTTTTGAAGACAGGAGGCTGCTGCTGCTTACGGCCTCTAAATGAATCATATACAAGAGTCAGAGCTCACTCACCAGTGCACACATCTTTGATTTCCATCGATCACAAACTCTGCCGGCCTGTTTTGAGTATTTTTCAATGTTTATAAATGAGAGCCTCGCTTCTTTCTGCAGGCGTTTTATTCTAGTGCACCGCCTCAGCCAGCAGCTGGGAAACAATCTGTAATGACTGCAATTTAATCTTCGAAGGTAGCTGCACGCATTCACGGTGTCAGGTCTGCACAATCGGAGAAAAATGCATTGTGTGGTTTTATCTCTGAATGAGATAAAGCATGAAGAATAAGCAAATGATCCGTGAGTGGGTTTGTTTCTCTTTCTTCTGTTTTGCATGTTTGACACGACTTCTCCTCGTTATAATCCTCGTCAACTTTCTCCTCTTTTTTTTCAGCTGACGGTGGAGTTTAGAGCAAACCTCCTATAAAAACACGAGCACAACAGTAAAGAGCTTTAACGCAGGACTTCACTGAGTCCGGTCGCTCTCGTTAAACTCTTCATATAAATTAAATAAGAATCTTCAACACTGCATCATTTTTACTGCACACTTAACCCCGGCATGCGCTCCTGTTTAACCCTCTGGTGACCCCGGGTGACTTCTGACCTTTTAATTTTCTCCTGTGGTCATAAAGCAACACTCGCCCTCCATGAACGACATCTGTTTGTATAGATTTTATCGATGAGCGGAGGAGGGAACTGCTTACAGACAGCAGATCGATGTTTAAAGACCGGCAGTGGCTGTAAACCCGAACACTGTGGAGGATAAAACCTTTTCTGTGTGATCACATCTTCACAGGAGGAGCTGCTCCTTCAAACACTCACAGATCAAACCAACATTTACTGAGAGAGGAGCCCAGACTTTAGACAGTGACCTGAACGCTGCTTTAACCTCTGACCCCTCCACCTCCCACTTAACCCCGTTTGACCCCAGACCTCTTTATGGCCCCCGGGGTGCTTCTCCAGGATCTTCAGGGTGTAATTGGTCCTCTGGCCTTTGCTGTTGAACTCAATGTGACCCGTCAGACCGTCGTACTCCACCTACAGAGACAGAGAAGACAGAAATGTTGTTCGCTTACAGACCTGAGCTAAAAACCACAGGGAGGAAGCTCTGAATGCTCTGAACAGAGTTGACTTGAAACTTTTTTAAAGGTTATTGTTACAAAAAAAAATTAAAACTCGATTCCAGCAACACATTTCCAAGGGCATGTTCCCCACCGTGTTGCATCACCTCTTTCTTTTTTTTCTATTACCAACACTCTGCGAACGCTGGCGAACCCCAGAGACCAGTTTCTGGAGTTTGGAAAGTGAAATGCTGCCCGATTCTTGCCTGATAGATTTCAGTTCGGGGTTTCCTTTGTTGTATATTTCATTTCCAGCACAGAGCCATGCTGTTGTAACACCTGCAGACTCTGGTTTGGTTTGTCTCACTGAAATATGAAAGTCATTGTCTGGATGGCAGCAAAAATACCTGGACTCTGATGATCCCCAGACTTTGAACCTAGAGCTGAAAACAAGCTGATCCCTTCAGTCCATCTTAAAGGGATATTCTGGCGTAAAATTAATTTAGGGTCAAAAACACTGTAACACCGAGTTAGACACCCCTCGGGAAATGATTGATGCCGACCACTTACTTCTCTAGTTATACCAACTTTAGTAACGACCGCAGGATAGCAATACAGAGAGCCACGCACTCAACCAAAACGCCACTCTATAGCCACAAATAATGCTCAGAACAGCACCTAACTTCATCAACAGGACATATAGGGTCACAGACATAGTACTAGACACCAAACATCTTTTTAACTTTGACTCATTTCTTTAGCAAAGAGTCTAAACACAACTCACCTACTCTCTTCCAGCAGACGCTTGTTTGTAGCGAGACCTCAGGCCAGTCCATTACAGACTACAGTGGGGTGTCGCAGCTCAAGGAAGAACATTGATGATCATTTCTAGAGGGGGTGTCTAACTTGGTGTTACAGTGTGTTTGACCCTAAATTAATTTTACACCAAAATATCTTTGATACCCGAAAAAAATAGATTCAGTCCGACAGATCGTCTAAATTTAGAGTTTTACTAAGGAAGACGTGCAGACAGCTGATAATGTGTTTATTTTTGACTCTTCTCTCAACAATCATAGCTGAGATTTTCTAAACAGAGAAATACCTGCACTAAAAACAGTCGTGACTCTGTAGTGGAACTTATTGAATGTGTCAAAATTTGACTTTCTTTTTTGAAATTATAGACGCTGTTTCCCCTCCACACTAAAGACAGGAGGAACCACTCAGGAGAAGGGACGCCTGAACACTCACGGTGTTCACTGCTGAAGGATATTTGCAGGTTTTAGAGAAACTTATTCATCCAAAAAGCCGTGAAGAAACATTTTAGTCAAAGAAGATTCCTCTGCAGGTGGAGAGTTTGTACGTCTATTCATTGATATTTCTGACACGGTACAAGGTAAAGAAAGAGCGTCCAGGCATTCAGCTCCGGTTTATTCAGAGTTTCAGTGGGAGGATAAAGCAAAGTGAACCCCACAGTTCACCTCTGCGCTGTTAAACACGTGGAGCTGAGTCAACTTCATCAACAGGACATATAGGGTCCCAGCCATAGTACTAGCCATCAAACATCTTTTTAACTTTGACTAATTTCTTTCGCAAAGGGACTAAACACAACTCACCTACTCTCTTACGTCAAGGAAATGATAAAGAAATGATCATTAATGTTCTTCCTTGAGCTGTGTCACCCCGCTGTAGTCCGTAATGAACTGGCCTGAGGTCTCACTACGACCCTATATGTCCTGTTGATGAGAAATTACTCATGCCATGTTTGTATATGATTCCCTCTTTGATTGGTTCAGTTTTAACCTGCACACCTCAAAGTAGCTGAAGGTACGCTGAGCTAAATTCAGAGCTGACACGCTAAAGAGGTTATAAAAGATTCAAAAAGGAAAATTAAATTTGTGTCGTAAAGGAGCGACAGGACAGAGCAGACAGGAGTCAGCACAAGTGAAGAGTGACAAAGCTGTTTGTGCATTTATGTGTGTGTGTGTGAGAGAGAGAGTGTGTGTGTGTGTGTGTGTGTGTTTGCATTAATGTGCAAATGAGTGTGAGAGCTGTGTGACATGTGCAGTCAAGCATGCATTTAGTGCCTGAGTTAATGTGAGAAATGTGCAACTGAGTGTTCGCATAGAGTGAATAAATGTTTGTGTGTGTGTGTGTGCGTGTGTGTGTGCGTGCGTGTGTGTGTGTGTGTGTGTGCATGATTCAAGATGAATTACATCCCAAAAACTCTGCGGCTAGAGAGACAGAGACAGAGGGAGGGAATGAGAAAGAGGGAGAGAGGTCTCTGGTTGCTGCCAAAAACAGTGCAGAGATGATGAAGTGATGCACTGGGAGCAACAAAAACAATATGGAGGGGGGTGGGGTGGGGAGGCATCCTCAGTGGATGGAGGAAACAAGAAGTGGCAGACGGATGGAAACTGGGAAATAGGAGACAAGAATAAATTATATAAACATGAAAATGAAAATTACAGCAGGATGAAGGAGAGTGAGGCCAAAATGTGTGTGTGTGTGTGTGTGTACTGGTACACCTATCCAAGAGTGGACTTTCCTGTTGCTTCACGTTCACCAGTGGGGGACTTGCTGGCAGACCTGGGGCATTTTTCAGGTCCACATTTCGACATGCTCTAAATCATCCTCAAACCCTGTTAAAACCACTCTGATGAGGTTTTACAGTTTTTGCCAATAGGAAACCCAAAGGTGTGTCGAGTGTTAGAGAACTTTCTCTGCAGCACCTCTATTGGCTGGAGGAGGAACTTCAATGACCAATTCATACGTCACATTTTAACACTTCTCTGTTGATTATAGTTTTATACATCTCTGTGAAAACCAGAACCGGACAGAAATATATTATTCACTTTCTCACAACCAACTCGCGACGGTAATCTTTGTAGGAAAAGCGCTTTGTAAATAAAGTTTGATTTGATTTGATCCTGTCTTGGTAAACGATAACGGCCCCGTCCCATACCTGAAGATCTCTGCAGACTGCCCTCCTCTGTACATGTGTAAGTTATGGTTTAGAAAAGTCAAGTTTGGGTCTATGCAGAGACTCCTGAAGTCCTCTCTTTGTCAGAACAAAATGGCACAGGTCCTCAGTTTCACTCTATACAGGGACATGTGTTTACAAATAGACATAAACAGAAATCAGCCGGACAACAGCAGCCTGACTAAATAAAAACTCAGTTTAGAGCCATTTAAAAGGAACTATTTTGGTAATTTTTTGGTGTACTTGGTCTACAGCTGAAAAATGTGACTAATCCTATATTACCTCGACCTCTTGAGGATTTGTCTTTCATTAAATAAACTTAAAAATGTATTTTTTATTTCTGCTGTTCTGCAAAAAGTTTTAAAGTCTGAGTGAAATCCCTCAAGTGTCTCTGCGAACTTTTTATCAGCTCTTTTCTTTGGCGTGAGCTGATCCTGACACTCAGGATCTGCCCACATATGTGGAGATTTCTGCTGCATGTTACCAGAAATGGAGATTTTTAAAATCGCAGAGTTGGAGATTTTCTAACGCTTTGTTTTGTAGTTTTCCTGCCTACATTGGTGCACTCTGAGGGGGTGTAAGGGGGGCGATCGCTGCCCCTCTTGACCTCATGTCTGAGAAAAAAAAAAGTGGATGTGCCGTTTCAGATGTCCTGTGACTAAGATGCCCTCTGCGGTGACCTCTCAGTGGAAAACCGTGTAAAGGATGTCCTAGCTGACCTTTGAGTGGGTGAAGAGTAAAAAGTGCCCTCTGGATCCTTTTCCGGAGAATAAAAAGTGGATATAAAATAATCTCTGGGTGTTTTTTCAGTGTATAGACAGTGATTTTGGTAACTTCACCAACTTTGGCATTGAATTTTGTCGATGATCTCGTGAAAAATAACAGATTTAGGGGCTGTCCACTTCAGTTTCATTGTTTAATCATCAGCAGTTAACAGTGTAAGGTCAGAGAAAGTTGTACTCAGCAGTAACTTCGTGATCTTTTATCGATATAACGCCGTTTCACAAAGAAAACCTAAAAACAGTCAAAGAAACCGTACCATCATGTCATTCGCAGCAGCTCTAGACCCTGAAATGAACCCTTAATAAAACCAGTGTGCTAGTTTCTTCACTTCTATGTTTACATTCCCTGAAGTCCCGCTCCTTCTTGCTCCTGATTGGCCAGTTATGAGCACAGAGGTATTCCAGAATTAAACTACTTTAAAACAGTGTGTCTTAATTAGGAGCATGATGGGAGATCATTTCAGCAGGTCTCCAGTTAGGATCTTATAAATTTTGACCCTGCAGGTCTTTGTGAATCCTTTTCATTTTGAGTTTTTTTCGATTCCGTCAGTCTTCTGGTGTTTAGTGGACTTTAGGTGTAAACAAAAGCGGGTCCAGAAAGATGACAGATATGAGGGTTTAAAGTAACTGAGGTTGACACACAGGAGGAGACGGGATGTGAACAGCAGTGTCACATGTCCGAGTCGGTTTGTCGACCCATCATCGCCTCTACGTCCTCCAAAAAAGGTTTAAGGCTCAAAAACAAAGTTATGTAACAGTTCATCATTTTATGTTAAACTCTGTCACTCCTGCAGATTTTTGTCCACGTTTAAAAAGCAGAGCGTCTCAGAGTTTTTGTATGTTTGTTGAGTGGTTGTGGTTGTATTTGTGTGTGCGTTTACCATCCTCAGGTAGTTCATGAGGCTGGTGCCGTGCTGCCAGATCAGCGGCGAGGTGCAGCTCAGCGGCTTCACTCCGATCTCCTGACTGCGGTTCAGCTCTCGCACGGCGCCAACCACAACGTGGACCGCGTCGAACATCAGCGCCGACGACAGCTGGAACACAAAACCACAAAAACAACGAAGAGAATGAGACATGCCGAATAAATAACGCTCTGTCTGAACATGTGACCGCGGAAAGTTCTTCTTCACCTCATCTCACATTTGGGTCAAATTCTGTTATAAGAATATAATAAAAAGTAAAGAATTATAAGAAATACAGCTATAATATAACTTTGTGAATGAAATTTAAGAAATGGTTTGTCTTTATTAGGGATTATTATAAAACTAAAAGTCAAATTGTAAAATGTCAAGTCAAGATTATTGAATAAAAAACTCAAATTATGAGCCGAAAATGATAATTATCAGATGAAAAGTCCCTATCATACGATAAAAAATATAACTCCATGTGATGTAATGTTGTAATCAAACATGTCTAAAATTTCTTTGGATAAGGTCTTGTAAAAGTTAGTGACATAAATTAATTAAAGAAGAAGAGTTCCCAGGATTGAGCCCTGAGGAACGCCACAAAAAACGGCCTAAACTCCAAACATTTGGAGGGAGCTTAAAAGATAAAGTTAATTCCCAATTAATATTTTCAGGAATGAAAAATATTGTTTTCATTGAGATACTGAACTTTTAAAAAGTGCTCTGATCGGCTAAGCTAACAGCTTTTCTTCCTATAAGTGGCTAGAGGCTAGCGTTAGCCGCTATCTGATCCTGAAATAATTGGATTTCTCTCTGGATTTTTAACACCCTTCAACTTTGAGATCAATACTGACCAAAAAAAGACGATAAGAAACCAAATTTAGACGACCAATGACAAAAACAAGGAATTTTAACCATTTAAATATGGTCGTTTCTGATGGAGTCGTGCTTGTGTCTCCTCTTTCTGCTCTGAGTTTGGTCTCCTCTGACTGATACTTTATTCCTGTTATTAGCTGGAGAGTGAGTGTGTTAAAAACAAAACAAAACTAGGAGCTGTGAGAGGCTCAGAGAAGCAGCAGAGAAAGTGACGGATCCCCACCATGTGATTGTATTTTCTTACATTTAGAGACAGCAGATGAAGTGTTTGTGCTTTTTGTTCATACTCCTCCAGATAAAGACGTCGGGTAATGATATCAGAACCAAGAAAACTGAGGCGCTCCTGCTATCAGCGGCGTTCAGCTCGCACGGCTCGGCGATCCTATCGGAGTCTGACGTTCGGGTCTGTTTGGTCAGTTGTCAGTCAAAGCGACACTCTGAGGGAATCAGACGAATCGTACGCAGGCAGAGCTGCACAGGCTGTCGGCCGCTGATAAAAAAGATGGATGTATGACTGAGTGTGATTGGAGCTCTCAGTGAGTCGATGGTTTCAGGGCTGGATGACGATAACTAATTACAGTTTGAAGAGGGAGTGATAGAGGAGCGAGATAGAGACGGAAAAATAATCGTCAGCGCTCAGTCATCTGTCTCCTCTGGTTTAAGGTAACACACCGCCACTCTAGGGCGGGTGAGACCGACTTTACACACTCCACATGATGGCTGTTGTCATGTCAGACTCTGAGGTGATGCTGAAGTAGCAGAGGGAGATACTTTATACTCTACTGTAGTCAGCTGGGAATTGAAGTGACCCTATTTCCTGAAGATTTAAGCTCAGACTTTAAAAGATTGGATCTGGATGGACTCTGAAAATCCACTGACCTTTTCTGGGGGATAGAAACGCTGCTGCAGAAACACACAGAGTTTAAGTCGGTGAAGAGAGAGTATGTCATGTAGAGACCAATGTAGTAACCTGACAAAGTGACAGAAAGACCTGTTTGGATACGACTACAGGTAAAAAGGTGAGTGTTATATTCTGGGGTAAAATTAATTTAAGGTCAAACACCAATAACACCAAGTTAGACACCCCCCCGAGAGATGAATGTTGCCGACCGCTTACTTACAGCACCTAACTTCATCAACAGTACATACAGGGTCCCAGCCATAGTCGCTGTTATGATGTGTTTGACCCTAAATTAATTTTACACCAGAATATCCCTTTAATCCCTTTAAAAAGGAGGCTCCCCCCCGACAGGCTCAGTCCTTTACAAACAAGAATGGAGCAACTGCAACTGTGTGGGAAAATAGTCCACTAATTTAAGAGCAGCTTTTTCCAACAGTAAAAAAATGTGGTTTGATGAAGTCGGTGTTGAAGTTGTTTTTCGGCCTTTTATTGAAAATATAAAGAGTTTTGAATCACCAGGATTTGAAGGAATAAAAAAAAAAATTCATCATAAAAAAAAAAAGGCATCGGTGATGAGTTTTGATCAAGTGGTAAATGTTTGTGTCAGTTCTGGCGCCCCCCTGTGGATGAAACAGTCTTTGATTTGAGCCGCTGACTTTTGAAACTCTAACGTTTTTTTTAATTATGACTATTTTCTGTGAAAATGGTGAGAACATGGCTGTTAGTTTGGCTCACACCTACGCCCCTCATACTGGTCTCAAACTGGTAGAAATGCAGATTTCTGAATCATCGATCTTCTCGCCGATATCTCAGCGCTAATTTCAGTGTATGTCTGTTTATTATCATCATTATGAATCAAGCCTTTTCCTCGCTGAGCTCTTTTCATTCAGTTAAACAGCGGTGTGGATGTGGCCTCAGCGGTGACGTCATGTCTCTTTATCTGATTAACTCCTAAACTCTTCATAAAAACAACAAATCATGTCGAGAGTTAGTTAAGAGTAATAAAACCTCCGGGGGGATGTTGTGGGCGGAGATGATGGAGTCTTCAGTGATGGAGACAAACTCTATTGTGGTGGTTGTTATCTTTATTAAAGCAGTCTGCCGTGTTGTTATTGCCTCTGTTGGTATCAGAGCCGCAAACCAAACAAACACTGTGAACATATTTATTTGTGCTGATGGTCCCTTTCATAACAGAGGAGGAGGAGGAGGGACGGGCATATTAGATGCTCGTCATCTTCATTATCAGGACAATAAGAGAGACTGATAAAGGCTTTGAACGATGGTCGAGCAGCAGCAGTAGATTGAAACGAGGCTGCATTCAAACGACCCAAATGCGGTAATTTTGAGTGCTCTTGACAATCAGACCTTTTCAGAGGATTCCTCCATCTCCTCAACCGTCATGAATAAAGGTTGACGTAATACCACTCTGACTTCAAGACACGCACGGCACAGAGGAAACACAACCAGCTTTTATATCGAAATAGAGAGTCACTCAGCGGAGAGTTTCCTCTGTAAAACCTGAAATCAACAATCCAAACAGAGTAAACACAGAGTCTCAGAGGTGGAGCAAAGACAAACCAAAGTGCTGCGTTCCAGTTGTACTCCAAAGTCGGGATTTCCGAGCTCCTGTGAACACGCTGCTATGGTGTTTGTAAGAGTGAAATACTGTGTTATGTGTTGTTTACAACTGGTAGAGCTAACAACTACCGGCAACAGTTAACAACAGTTAACAATAGCTAACAACAACTGACAACAGCTAACAACAGCTAACAACAGCTAACAACAACTGACAACAGCTAACAACAGCTAACAACAGCTAAAAACGGTTAACAATAACTGACAACAGCTAACAACAACTGACTATGGCTAACGACAGCTGACAACCACTAACAAAAACTGACATCTGCGAACGACAGCTAACAACCGCTAACAACAGCCGACAACAACTGACAACAGCTAACGACAGCTGACAACTAACAAAAACTGACAAAGGCTAACAACAACTGACAGCCGCTTACAACAGCTAACAGCATCTACCAACAACTGACAACCACTAACAAAAACTGACAAAGGCTAACAACAGCTGACAACAACTAATAACAACTGACATCTGTGAACGACAGCTAACAACCGCTAACAACAACTGACAACAGTTAACAAAAACTGACAACCACTAACAACAACTGACAATGACTAACAACAGCTGACAATGACTAACAACAGCTGACAACGGCTGACAACAACTGACAGACAACGGACAACCGCTTACAAAAACTCACAAAGACTAACCATAACTGACAGCAGCTAACAATAACTGATAACCGCTAACAACAGCTGAGGATTGTAAAAAACAGCTGAAAATGGCTTACAGTAGGCGTCCATCTTGGTTTTCCAACTTGTTTACGGCCCTCAACTCGGGTTTAATGTCATTCCCAGCTCCGACATCCAACCTCTGAGGTAACTGCAACGCAGCAAAAGCTCACAGTTATGGTTGTTGTGTCTCTTACCGCCGGTCCTGGGTACGGGCTGATGCCGCAGCCTTCCCTCCAGGACAGGTTGAGGCTCCTGATGAACTCCAGGTAGAAAGCGTGGCTGCTGTTCAGCATGGAGAAGCCCACGATGTTCGACTGGCCGTCCACCACGTCATCCAGCCGCAGCAGAGGGAAGTCCTGAGGGAAGACAGAGGAGGGAGTTAATAATACAGTTTGTTTAAGAGGCGGGAGTTTGAGGAGCAGAGGGAACCTCCGTTAAGGAGCACAGCGGGGTGAAAATGTGAGGAGTGAGGGATGAAAGAAAACCAGGGCTTCTCCACAATGTCGAGCCGTGTTTATTAATTCAGCGCAGGCTAACGGAGAGAATAAAGGTTTATTTTTAAAGATGGACATCAAACGCCGGGGAATTTCAAAGAACTTCAAATAACCCTTGGGGTGATCGGTGTCACGCTGAGCTCTGCTGCTGAAACAAACCCAGAATCAAACCGCTGTTGGTCCCTCAGAGGGTTTGTGTTTGCTCTCAGACAGATGCTGACTATGAAACATTTAGATTCAGCTGTGTAGAGCAGACAAAGCAGGCCGCGTCCAGCTTTAACCACATGCCTCCACCTTCACCTGCTGTTTCTTTTTTTTTTTTAGCGCCTCTTCGGCTGAGGGGTACTTGTTAAATCCTCCTGAATATGAAAGAACCATGAGCCCCTCTCCAAATGTGAATTCAAGCCCTCTTCAGCTCCTACACTTCTATTCTCTGTGAATCACAGTCATTGGCACAGGTAATTAATTAGGACAGGAACTCTGTAATGAAGTGGAGCAGAGCACTCTGAGTGTCAGGATTATTTTCACAGATTTAAAGTTTTGGATCAGTTTTGACTGCAGCAGTGAATCAGGGTCTGATCTAAAGTTATAAACCGTTCGTGCTTTGAGTCACTGTTTGTCTTTAAAGTTGTTTTTGCTGTGCGTTTTTTTTGCTTCTTTGCAGTTTTGTTGCTTTAGGTATTTGTAGTTGCATCTTGGAAGTTAAATTACTTTGTAACTGTTGTGTTATGCCTTTGATATTGTACTGTGTCTTTGTAGCAACGTTGTGGTAAACTTTGGCATATAATTGTCTTTGTAGCTTTGTTGATTTGTGTCTTTGTTGATTTGTGTCTTTGTAGTTTTGTTTCTGTATATATTTGTAGCTGTTTCTTTGAAGTAAAGTTACATTGTAATTGAAGTCTCGTGCCTTTGATGTTGCTCTGTGTCTTTGTAGCAATGTTGTGGTAAACTTTGTTGCATTTATGTCTTTGTGGTTGTGTTGCTGTGTTTTTTGTGTCTTTGTTGAAGTGTGTATCTGGGTTTAAATATGTGACTATTTGTAGGTCTGTTTGAAACTTTGTAGTGATGTTACTTTGTGTCTTTGAGGTCAAAAGGCTTTGTGTATATCTGTGTATATCTTTGTAGTTGCTGTGTGTCTGTGTAGCTCTATGGTTGTGTCTTTGTACGTCGATGTTGCTATGATGTTTTGTGTCTTTTTAATTCATGTTTGTTTCTTTGTAGCTGTCTTTGTGAGTTTTGTGTTGTTTGATTTGTAGTTAAGTCGCTTTTTGCCTGTTTTTTTGTCACTTATTTTTTTCCATAACTTGTTTGTGTCTAAATTTAAAATATGTTATTGTGTTTTCTTGTTGCTGTATATCTTAATTTAGTTGCTGTGTTTCTTCGTAGTTTGGTTGTTTTTTTGGTCTTAAATCTTCGCACAGGTCGGACTCTCAGGTTTAAAGGTTTATGTTTTTTATTCGGCTGTTAGAGGAAATGTGAGGATGAGTAAAAACAACACGAGTCTTTGTCTCGTTTTGTTATTTTTACTGCGAAAGCAACAGTCACTCTGTTTTTCATCATTCTGTCTGTTTCATTTAGTTCGAACTTCATTTACTCGACATTTTATGTTTTGTTTTTTTTCCACCCTGTTGGTGTTTTGTTTGAGTGTGTCTGGACTCGGCTCAGGAAATTGCCTTCCTTGTTGGGTCATTTTTATTTTTCAGGCTGTTTTTCTCGTTTCCCCTCTGACTCACAGCAGAGAGAGAATAGAAACCCTACTCGGGCTGTAGATGCGTCTCACACAGGACTTCAGTTTCTGACAGATGGACAGTCATCATCATCATTTGGCCGCTTCCTCGGCCGGGTTAAAAATATTCTGGCTCAGGATTTATCCAGTCTGCAGAAACTCTCCGAAGAGGGTCGGAGGTGGAGGGGGAGGCGGGGAGGGGTCTGATCTGAACTTCAGCCAATTATCCAGGAAGGTTTCAAACCGCAGACCATTTCCTGTCCAGCTGTTAAGGAGCGCGGCTAACCTGCGAGAGGCTAATTTCTTTATCCCCGAATTTCCCGACACTTATTTACTTAACAAAGCTCGAGCCGGCCCGTCTGTCGGGAAGCTGCTGCCTCCTCTCTTGTTGTTCTTGTTGTTGCTGCTGGTGCGTTTGCCAAATCAATTTCAGCTACAGCCAAGTACACTGTCAGACTGTGGGCCTGCCATCCGTGACAAAGAGCTGCTGGCTGGAGGAGCGGAAACGAGCGGGCCAGCACTGCTGAGGAGGAAACACTGCGACAGCATCCACGAAGGACGCCAGCGGTGCTGCGGGACCTTCCTTTAGACCGACGCTCGGTTTGAAGGTGTGAGCAGACATTTAATGACTCTCTGGAGATGTTACAGAGTAATGAGGGACATTTAGATGTTTTCATCTGTGAGGATTCGAGGAAATTATCCCAGCGTTTATAAAGATGAGTACAGAGGGCGCCAAGTGGTTTGAAAGACTTCTAAATATCGATCTCGTGTTTGGGCGTCAGGTTTCCCCCTGCTGGATATCAGAGAGAGTGCAAGTTTAAAAACTTCTGCATTACGATGGCGCTATAAGAGCAGACAGATCATCGCAGTTGTTTGAGTAGCTCATTATGAAGGGTACATGGATGTATTTTGTTAAGATCCTCGGTCTGGACCACGGACAGGAAGTTCCTGACGGGACGCCTCATGATAATAAATAAAGCAGCAGATCCAGATGGCGTCACTCTGAGGGAAACTTTAATCCAGCAGCCAATTAGCTGGAGTTTAATGAAGGTGATCTAATGTTTGGATTGACCCTCATTAGAAACTGATGGTGGAACATGGAGCTTCAGTCTCGGCGCTCACATCGGCTCTGCAGCAGCTGCTGTCCATGAGCCAGAAAACGAGGAGCTGGAAACCAAAAGAAGGAGCTGAAAGAGGCTAAAAGACTTTTAGGAACTTTTAAGAGCGATTACACGACTGAAAAAAAACAACAACGGACAGATTCATTTTCAGAAATAAAGTTTGAGGATCTGATGAGGACATGAGATCAGTCCTTCTGTCGTCTCCTCTTAGAAAACGAAGATCATCGCTTAAACCGTGGCCTGGCCGGGGTCAAAGTTCACATTTTATTTCCCAGTCCAGGTAATTTTTAAGACAAAAGTCTCATCATACATCTATACAGTTAAACCTGGTTAATCTGAGAGAGATAAGCTCCGCCCATTTCTGTTTTCTCTCAGCGTCAGAGAAAACATCTGTTGATCTTCTCAAGCTGTCAGAGACCGGACTACAGCTACACCGGCGTGTGTGTTTGTTTGTGTGTGTGTGTGTGTGTGTGGGGATGATTTTGCTTTTGGTTCTGATCCAGTTCTGCTGAAGGTGGACGAAACAGCGGTTCTGCCCTTGGTCTGTGAGCGTGGCGTGATGTGCCCTTGCGAAAAGCTCAGAAAGAGTGTTTGACTGAGACGAGGCGGAGATCGAGACGAGTTATTATCCACGCAAAGTCTCCGAGCACAAGGGCACGACACCGGACAGTGAAACTATAATGATGACAAACGGCGGCCGGGCCGGCGTGCATCTGTGATGAGCGGCGAGAGAGAGCGGGAGGAAGAGAGGGGGAGAGGAGGCATATGCAGGCGGTTTGTGAGGTAAGGGAGGAAAGGAAAGAGGATGCGACCAACTACCATCCTGAAAAGTGTTAGGTGGAGATGGGAAGAGAGGGAGAGACGGAGCGGACAAAGAAAAACAGAGCGAGAGGAGAGAAAGAAAAGGAGAGCGAGAAGGAAATAAACAAAGGACAGGAGGGAAGAGAAGGAAGAAGAGGAAATGAAAAAACTGATGAGGTGAATCTAAAAACAGAGAATGAAATGAGAAAGAGGAAGGTCCTGAAGAAGAAGAGGAGGAGGAGGAGAAGATGAAGAGTGCGTCTCGTACCATGGTGGTCAGGATGTACTTGTAGAAGGCTGACGTCATCCCCAGCTCGCTGGCCTGCAGGTCACAGAGAAACAGAGCAGACAGATGAATGTTCAAACTTTCCTGATGAATACTGAGCTGATGAAGAACCAAGAAGTGTCTGCGTCATCGCTCGCCACAGCGAGCCCCGCGCTTTCGGCTAAATTGGAGGCAATTGTGTTTCACCTGTTCCTCAGCGTTCCAGAATAACACGAAGCAACCTTAAAAGAGTGATTTAGTCTCAGATCAAACCAAAGAATCAGGCAGTGATTAACACCGCTCAGAAGATAATAGAGAGGAGAATAAAAGCGCTCAGTCACTTCAGACACTTTTTCACGGGTAAAAAGACGTCTAGACCCGAGTTTAAATGAGGGCGGAGAACTCGGTGTTCCTCAGACTTTTAAAGTTGAACTTCTGAAGGTTTAAAGCTGAATGTCTTCACCTGTTCTGACCACATGACAGTTAAAAAACACTCACATAAGTACACAAAACCAGCAGGTGGCGATAGAGTGTGATCAGACACAACATAAAGGAATATTGTGGGTCGGTCTTCAAAAACAACTTTGAAGGCTGCAGAGACTGTTTTTTTGGGGGCGTTTTGGTTTAAATGTGCAAAGGAGGAAAAATCTAAAACTGTTGATTTTTTCTTCCTCTTCCATTCTGGAGCCTCTTGGATGTGAAGCCCCGCCTCTTAGATATGAGGCCCCGCCTCTTTGGATAATGAGCTCCACCTCTTTAGAAATTGAACCCCCTCATCTTTGGATGTGTAGCCCTGCATTTTGGATATGGAGCTCTGCCTCCTTGGAGTTGAAGCCCCACCTCTTTAGATGTAGCCCCGCCTCATAGAATGTGTAGCCCCGCCTCATTTGATGTGGACCCTCTCTATCTTTATTTTCTACTCTGACTTTCTCAAACCTGCAGCAGCTTCAGTCTGTTTTTATCCTGAAGCTCCGCCTCTTTAGATGTGTAGCCCCGCCTTCTTGGCAGTGTAGCCTTTCTAACCTTTCTCTTTACTCTGACTTTCTTGAACCTGCAGCAGCTCCAGTTCTTCTTACTTTTCCATCCTGGATCCCCGCCTCTTTAGATGAAGCTCCTCCTCTTTTGATGTGTAGCTCCGCCTCCTTGGCAGTGTAGCCTCTCTAACTTTACTCTGTACTCTGACTTTCTCGAACCGGCAGCAGCTCCAGTTGTTCTCCTATTTAACCTTTTCTCCACCAGCAGCTGCTTCCGCCCGTCAACACTCCCCTCTGCCTGTGCAGCTGCTCAAAGTCAGGCTGGGATTTGAACTTGTAACCTCCGACTGCGGAGACTCAGACCCGCTCCGTTATTAATCCATTAACCTCCACACACTGGGAGCCTTTCTGGGCCCCGCTCTGCCTGCAGGAGCCCGGCGCTGAGCCCAGCTTCGCAGGGAAAAGACAAACACGCCAGAGTCAGTGAGTGCTTTATTTTGTATTCAAAACTTCTCAGGCTCCCCCAAGGTTAGCGGGCACAGAGTGAAATTACAACCTGCCAAGAGCTGGTACATTTAGTTTGGGGCTGTAAAAGTCTACCAACCACTTTGGCAGGAAGTCAGTCTGCTTCTGAAGGTGCTGCAGCGCTGAGTAAACACCAACGAAGAAGACAAAACAGGAATAAAGTCGTTTCAGCTGGTTATTCAACACGCTCTGAGTCTTATTGATGATTTGAAGTCTGTAATCGTCTGAAATAGAAAACCAATATTTGAAGAAGTTATAAAAAAGTGTGGGGTGGATCTTTGCCGACCTTTCTGAGGATGTGGTAGGAGATGGAGGCGTTGGCGTCGATGATGATGGTGGCCACTTTATCGTCACGGATCTCCTTCAGCAGCGGCGTGGGGTCCAGGCTGTCGTCCAGCATTCTTACCGACAGCGTCTCCCTGGAGATGAGGAAGCGGTGAACCAGCTCCTCCAATCGCAGCAGGCCTAAAAGGGGGCGGAGTCAGGAATCAGTGAAAAAGAACATGAATTAAAACTCAGAGGAAAAAGAGGCGATAAATAATCCTGGTCTGATTGTTCGGCTTGTTTACTTGTAAAATTATTGCTGCGACTCTGACAAAAATAAAAAAGACGCTTGAGAAATTGATGGACCTGAGAGTCATTAGAGACGAATAACCGCCGCACAAAGCTGCAGGTCTGAGCGGCTGAATAAAGGCAGATGAGTCTGGAGGTGATTATGTTGAAAGTCCATTAATTTTCCTCTCAGAGAATCAATTTGGACGTAAACAAGTCGGCTTTCACTCAATCGACAGCCGACGATTATTAGAGAGAAGCACATTTCTGCAGATCCTTTGAATTAAAACCTGTTAGACCGTCATCGCAGTAAACACAGAAAACCACAGAAAACCACAGAAACCACTTCTGTTTTGAGATTTCTACGACAATAACCGTTCAGGTTTATGGTCCAAAGTAAAGCGGATCAGTCTTCCTCGTCTTTTTGTGTGTTTAGATTTGACTCAAAAGATAAAAACTAATCCGCTTCATTATTATTATTGGTGTTAATTTCCTGCAGACTTTTTATTGGAGAGGACGGAAACTTGGCGATATGACGCATCGCTGCTGAGACATTAAGAAGGAAATCAATTGAGCCTGACCCAGAATGAAGACTCGGGTCCAATCCTCGATGACAAACTGACCACAGAGGCTCACGCTGCAAAAAGGTTAAAGGAAGACAGGAACGCCAACCGCAGTAAAATATTTGATCATTTTCCAAACTATGACAGATCGTATTTCATCAAGCCGTCGTAGTCCATTACGGACTACAGCGGGGTGCCGCAGCTCAAGGAAGAACATTTATGATCATTTTATCATGGAAATACAATCAGACCGAGACGCTAAGACAGAAGAACTATCGAGTCTGCAAAATGATTAATATGATGGACTGGCCTGAGGTCTCGCTACAAACAAGCGGCTGCTGGAAGAGAGTAGGTGAGTTGTGTTTAGTCTCTTAGTCAAAGTTAAAAAGATGTTTGGTGTCTAGTACTATGTCTGTGACCCTATATGTCCTGTTGATGAAGTTAGGTGCTGTTCTAAGCATTATTTGTGGCTATAGAGTGGCGTTTTGGTTGAGGGCGTGGCTCTCTGTATTTCTATCCTGCGGTCGTTACTAAAGTTGGTATAACTAGAGAAGCAAGCGGTCGACAACATTCATCTCTGGAGGGGGGGGTCTAACTGGGTGTTACGGTGTGTTTGACCTTAAATTAATTTTATGCCAGAATATCCCTTTAACTCCACAGACTGAGTGATGTGTTCAGTCGTACCTGTGATATTCAGTCTGTTTAAATGAAACGTCCTCGTCCTCCTCAGTTTAATTACTTCATTTTGATCTGAAGCTCAGAGAGAAACGATGAAATCATTAAAAATTTCATGACACCCTCTCTTCGTTTTTAAAAAAAAGCCTGCTGCTCTCTTTCACCTCACTTTTATCACTGCGAGCGCCCGGCCTCCGCCTCTGTCTGCTCCCCTCGTTCGTCCCTGACAGAAGCAGCGGGCGTGTCTCGACTAATCGGCCGCCATAAAACGTTTATCACAGCGCCGCGGGGTTTGACTGTCCGACTGCAGCGTTCACGACATCAGAACAGGCCTGTTAAACCGCGCCGTTAACGGGGCGAGGGGTACGGCTACAGCGGCATTGAAACCGTAGGCTCGGGCGGCCCAGTGGGGTGGAAAAACAGGAGAGCGATCGATGAAGGAGGAAGAGGAGGAGAGAAGAGAGGGAGGAGGAGGAGGAGGAGAGGAAAGAACAACAGAGCAATTTTCAAACTTTACTGCAAAATCAATGGTTTTGTGTAGCTATAAAACTTCTTTAACACCTGAATTTGCACCTTTGGTGTCTGCAGATCCACAGGGGCGATGTACAAACTGACGTCCACCACAAAACAAGCAAATAATCTGCAGACTGAGGCACTCGGAGCACAAACCCACACGAGTCTCAATCAGCTGAACAGAATATCGATTTATCAAACCTCAGTGCTGTTTTTAAGTTAACATATCACCATTTTCTGATGTTTTAAAGGAAATAAGTCGACAACAGAGAGAGTGAATGTATCTGAAAGACTTTTATGAATAAACTTGAGAGGATAAATCCCTGATTGTTTCCTCAATGCTTGAAGCCTCATCACTTTTGTTTACATCTATTTAACAGGAATAAAAAAAAAAACAGCATTTTACTTCAACTCAAATTTAGATTTACAGATTTGAACCTCAAAGTCTCGACTCAGTTTCTCGGCGGGTTTGACCTCGTCTCTAATTGGCTGATTTAAAGGAAGGCCGCTGTGGATTTTTTTTAGCTCAGACTAAATTGTTTGTGCAGAAAACTGAAGGATCAGGTTAAGACGAAAGGACTCAGACTGACTCACCTAAAGATCTTCTGGGTCCACTTAACTTTTATGAATAAGACAGAAAGACTCGAGCTAATGATGCACAAAGGGTTACATGCACCACAAACGGCTGCAGAGCAAATAACGCAGCTGAGCGACGGTGTTGATGCTTTAAAATCAGCCTGTTTGAATACAAAATGATCTGAAATAGAAATTCTTTCAGATCCACTAATCCAGTCCTCGTGTCCACATGCAATTAAAGAGAAACTTTCACGTTATTGCTCTGCAGGATGAGGGATGTGACGCTGTAAGACGCGCTCCCCACCATCTATCTTATCATCAGTGTGCAGAAGAGTTCAGGCTCAGTCAGGATGAGAGTGCTCAGCACAGCTCTGTGCAGCTTTTGCACAAACTAAACCCGTGAATCAAGCTAGAATGACTCTGTCTAATTTATAAAGTACATCCAAAAGGTTAAATTTTACACAAACTGCTGTGAAATGTGAATAGCACCTTCATTTTGAGTTTAAAACATACCTGTAGTCAGGATTAGAGTGCCCAGCACAGTTCTGAGCAGCTAACCGATCAGCTCATTCAGAATAAAACATGAAACTAAAGCAGAGCTGCAGGATTTAGCAGGTATGTTTGAACTTGAATATCATGAATATCATATGCACCATATGTTAGACGTTGGAAAAGCAGATAGTGACGGTGAATGATGTGCAATATTTAGTAAAGTCACAACAGAGAGGAAAACCCCAGAGAAAGACAGGAGAGACCTCCAACCATCAAATATCAGAAATCTCAAAGATATAGAGGAGGAGGAGGTAAAAACACAGACGTCCCAGACTGACTCACACTCCGCTTTGGCGCAGATGAGGCTGGCCGTTGGGTTGCCGAAGGAGTGAAGGATGGCGCCGATGGCCAGACTCAGGTCCTCATTACTCGGGTACAGAGTCACAGAGGCGAAGCGGAGGTACGGCAGCTTTGGGGTTTCTTCTGGGCCGATCTTGACGTGAGGGATCTGATGGAAGGAGGAAGAAGAAGAAGAGGAGGAGGAAGAAGAAGAGGAGGAGGTTTCCATAAAAAGGGAAAGAAAAAGTCTGACAGTAAAAATCTGAGTAGATATTTTCTGAATGAAAAACACAAAAAAAGAGAAGAGAAGGAAAATGAAAAAGTTTGATTTGTTGTATTAAAACCAGAAAAGCAGAAGAATTGATCTTTGAAAGTCAAATTTAGAGGGTTTTAACGTCAGAGAGCTGAAATCAGTCTCTCTGTCTCCTCTGAGCAAAGATCCTGTGACAGACAGAGTCTCCACTCCGGCTGAAATATTCATGACAAATTAAAAAATGAAGCGTCGGAATACAGAAGCAGGTCAGAGGTCAAATGTCCCGTATGATCCTCGGCTCAGTGGTTTAACCTCGTCCACGTCTGCAGAGGTTGACTCTCTTATTAGCTCTTGAGTCTGATCTGCAGACTGAGAATAATCCGGTAATGTGAGAGTGGAGCAGACAGAGGGAGGAGATACGAGGAGGGTTAGAGGATTAACAGGAGATGAAGATGGGGTTATGAGCTCCTCTCACATTAATGAGACTAAACTCCTGAAAATTTCCTGAATTTTCTCTGGGAGCCTCTTGTGTGGAAACAAAAAGGCCAAAACCGTCACCCCGCTATTATTCTGAGTTTCTCCTGTGAGACGTCTGCGAAAAATGAACAAAGTCGAGCTGGAGGATGAGAAACACAGTCCTCATATTCACTTCTACAGCTCCATATGTGACTCACCTCTTTCTCCCCGCAGATGTGACTGATGGTGGACCCAGAGGCGGGGCTGGAGGCGGGGCCAATCACAGAGACCACGCCTTTTGGGAGGATCTGACACACTAGGTGAGAGAGAACAGAAGTTTGTCATCAAATTAGGTTCAGTGAAAGTTTGATCCTCCTGAGACAAAAATATGAGAAAATTGAGAAAATGAGAAAATGAGAAATCTTATCTTCAGATCTCTTAGGACACTTTTTATAGTTTCAGGTCACACCAATGTTTTTTTTTTCTTCTTTCTTGAGTTTAAAACTTGGACCTGGATGTCAGAAAGATCTAAAATGTTGTTGAGGTTTTATGACGAGACCTTGAGAGTCAAATTTGGAGCCATGAGAAACATGAGAAGAATCTAAATAAAGATCTGAAGTTCAGGATCTGATGGGTTTTAAAGGGATGACTCAATGACCGTGTGTATAATTCATCTTTGTACTGTCCAGCGTGTGTGTGTGTGTGTGTGTGTGTGTGTGTGTGTGTGTGTGTGTGTTCGGCTCTGACAGAAAACATTAACTGCCTCTTGGTCGGGAAGTCTCTCTCTCTTTCTCTCTCTCTCTGAACCGCTGGCGGTCCATAATTGATAAACATGGCGAGCAGCTGCTGGTGCAGAACGCTGCGAGCTCTGCGGTCACGGTGACCTCACACCGCAGCAACGCTACACCCCCTGAATGTCTAAAAAGAGCGCCGTCCTTTAGTTTGTACGTCTGCGTTAAACATGTTAAAGCTGAAAGTCAACAGTGGGACAGAATTCATTACAGGAGACGGAGACTGATGACGATGGCGCCGAAAAACAAACCGCCAACCATCGACTCCCCACATATACCGCAATTTCCTTTAAGTTAATTTATACGATGAAGGCAAAAACAGATCTGCAGAAAACCATGACCCGAGTCAGATAAGGGAGTGAAATCCAAGCAGGGCTGGTCTCTCTGCACAGCGTGTGATCATCAGCAAACCGTCATCACAGCTGATGAACTAACAGGAGCCGAGGAGGGACAAAAAGGACGGATTGGAGAGTAATCAGTGACTTCTTCTCCTTCTTTCTTTCGATGAATAATAAACTGATGAACCCCTCGATGGTCCTGAGGTCTTAGGTGACCTCCTGAGACGTCTCCAGCCCATGATGTTTGACTTTAATCAGGTCATTTTGGAGACACTAACAGAGACTCTACAAAGAACTTCAGCTCAGGGGAATGTAGTCCGTCCATCAGAGACTGGAGACCGTCTGTGGTCGATAATCAGGTGTTGGTATTGATCCCAGTGTCTTCAGGTGTTGTAAAGGACATCCATGTTGGTGTTTAAAGCGCATTAAGGAAACATTTGCACTTCCTGTCACATCGACCTGCTCGATGTTTTACTCTCTGCTGGAAATGTCAGTGAGAAACCGCACAGCTGCACCACCGTTTAGGAGATTTTCATTTTATCATTTTATCATGGAAATACAATCAGACCGAGACGCTAAGGCAGAAGAACGACCACGTCTGTAAAATGATTAATATGGTGATTATTACTGCGAGGAAATGATAAAGAAATGATCATAAATGTTCTTCCTTGAGCTGCGTCACCCCGCTGTAGTCTGTAATGAACTGGCCTGAGGTCTCACTACAAACAAGCGTCTGCTGGAAGAGAGTAGGTGAGTTGTGTTTAGTCTCTTAGTATCGCACTATGTCTGTGACCCTATATGTCCTGTTGATGAAGTTAGGTGCTGTTCTGAGCATTATTTGTGGCTATAGAGTGGCGTTTTGGTTGAGGGCGTGGCTCTCTGTATTACTATTCTGCGGTCGTTACTAAAGTTGGTATAACTAGAGAAGCAAGCGGTCGGCAACATTCATCTCTGGAGGGGGTGTCTAACTGGGTGTTATGGTGTGTTTGACCCTAAATTAATTTAATGTCAGAATATCCCTTTAAGACTTACTGGTTTCCGTGGTGTCGTACTGCGAGTCTTTGATCAACTCGTAGACGTCCACCTCCACCCTCGCCTCTGACGGGCCCTCGATCAGGCTGTTGATGTTCTCCCTCGCCAGAGCCAGCGCCAAACGCTCGCCACGCCCACATGTAGACTGGTCATCCAAAATGGCCGCTGGAAAAGACAGAGAAGAGTTAGGGTTAGGGAGCTAGTCCAGGCAGGCTCAGAGTTTGTGTTTGGATCTGATTTGAACGCTCTGACTTTAACGGGTTAATTTACCTCCTGATCATAATGTTTTTCTTTTCTTGCAGAGTGAATTTTGGAGCCTCAGCTTTTAAAAAACAAACAAACAAACAAACAAACAACCTCCAGACTGGAATAAAAACTCCGGAGCCGGTCACAGCCTGTCCTCCCGTGTCTGGACTCTCTCCTCCTCCTTCAGGCTCCCCCTCTTTCCCAGTCTGCTCCCTTGTTTTCTTTTCTCCTCTGTCCTCTGGCTGCAGCGCACCTGCTTACAGTCGCTGCTGTACTGCCGAGCGCCAGCCAGAGGGTCTGTCTGACAAAATAATTCAGTTATAAATATCCCAGCAGCAAACCGCTGCGAGGAGTCAGCAGAGCCTCCAACCTTTCCTGAACAATCGTAGACCAGGAAGTCGAGCGGCGACTTTTCAACAGAGCAAACAACACACAAGACCCCAGAGTCGAGTTCTCCGTCTGTCAAAGTCACGAAAATAAAGTGGGTATAATTATAAAGTTCACGGGTCAGAGGGAGAGTCTCTCAGCTGAACACCCCGAGGCGGCTGTCACTGCAGATCCAGTCTCAGAGCTGAGGAGACAACCGCAAACCCAGAGGAGAAACCTTTTGAGGACGATCAACATGTGAAACAAAAACTGCAGCGGCTCCGATCATTCACAGTCGTGTCAGGAAGAGTCCGAAACAAAAGAACAAAAACAGTCTGAAGAAGAAGAAGAAGATGATAACAGCAGAAGAGGAAAACTGTAAATCCAGACTCCTCCAGGCCTTTAGGGGGCGCTCACTGAAACTGAAGCTGCGCACTTACGTTCATCATTACGGCGCATCAAACCAACTATACTTCAGATGTGACGACAAGTCTGTGAAGGGGGGAATAAAATACGCAGCAGGATAACTTCCTGTTTTTTAACACGATCTTTTAATTCACTTTCACTCTATCGCTAAACCTAAAGTTAAAAATATTTATCAGTTTCTGTTCAGTTTGAATCTGTTTTTCATGATAGTTTCAGTTTCTTGTGTCCGATCATCCAAAAAAACGTTTCTTCTTCAGTAACAGTTTCCTGAAAGACGATTTTTCTTTGTAGTAAAACATGAGCAGGATAATATCTGAGTGTTTGACGTGCCTGTCAGTCTGAAAATAAACAGTCTGTGGGGGAAACTAAAAGTCGTCTCAGTATCGAAAGTGTTTCAGAGAAAAACCTCAGGCAAACTCTTCAAATAACAAAAAGAAAGAGATTTATCTTCTGCTGTCCGGAGGTCGGACAAACATTTAACTCCTGGAGTTTATTCTCAGTCAACTAAACTTTACTTTCATTTCACAAGTTTTCATCGGAGATAAAAAAGGGAGCTAAACTTGGTGGATCACATGACTCAATATTTTGTTTTTTTGGATGTATAATTGGGAAAAGTATAAGAAGCAGTAAAGCGCCTGATTGGTGTTTCACCATGACTAAGTCCTGAAAATGGTCAGGCTGCAGACCGGGACCCTAAATCTCAACATTTATCGGGTTTATCTTTAGTCCTCAAACTCTGCAGACCTCCAGATACTGCAGTTATAATCAGACCAACATAAAGACATACTGAACTTCATTAAAACCAAACCTCTAATTCTCCCTCTTTGCACCTTCATACCTGCTCACCCTGCAGACGGACGGTTTACTGGAGATGCTGTTCATATCCTGATGTACACACTAACTCCAGGCTCTAACTCAGAGGATGATCCAGATTTATAAACTGTATCCTGGAGGTTTTACAGTCCTGATTGGACGGCAGCCAGGTGAAAGACGACCTGTTCAGAGTGTAGGAGGAGGAAACATCAGCAGCAGAAACTGAAATAGAAATGACACTCGTCCTTGAACTCAAACAGGAAGAAAAACCTCCAGTCATCGTTTCTATTTCCTGAAATATTCGAAATGGAAAATAAAGAGAAGCGCTGTTACAGTTTCTGAGTTTATTTCCGTCTCCACCTCCACACTGACTCGCCTGCTTTGACTAAAAACTGTGAGAGAGGACGGGGCGATCAGGTGCTGTAACTTCTGTTCCTGTATTTTAAACACAAAGGAAATCACAGAGAAGGACTCCAGGTTCTGGACTTGATGAGGAGCCTAAAGACCGACTCCTCGGCTGTAAATCATCCTCCCTCTTTCCCCCGTTTCTGCAGACACTGAGACGTATCGCCGCGGAGCAAAAACACCGAACAACAACTCCAAAAATCAAAGAGAACGAGCTGCTGAGAGTCAGAAACAAGCGGGGCCCTGGATCCTGCCGGCTCTGCTCTGGATTTGATTTGTGTTCGCTTAATAATTAACGCCTCTCCGGGGCGAGCAGGGAGCCGAGTTATCGTGTCCTTCCTTAAAGAGACTGTTGTGGAGTTTAGGAAAATACAAATAGATCCAGATGGTTCATGTCGCTCTTTGGATCTTCAGAGGAACTCCTCAGAAACAGAAAACTGAGGAGTGAAGTGGATGAAACTCGAACCTACAAATCTGGTGAATAAACTCAATTAAAGCAATAAATTTAGAGGAGAAGAAGACGCACATTCACGGGAATCAAGTTTTACATTTAGGAGAAAGAAAGAAAAATAAAACCTGTAGATGCAGAGATGTTACTGCGCTCTGTAACGGTCTGAGTCTCTGCGTGGGCTTCATGATAGACCAGGTCCCGGTGTGTGTTTGTTTGTGGAGTCATTAGTTCCAGCTCAGGTAGGTCAGACCTCTGCGTAGACCACATACAGAGACCCAGAAGATCCATGAGTTTGGACTTTAACCTGTGCAGGTTACAGATGAGCGTTCACAAAAACTTCACATGACCTTTATTTTTCCACGACTCGACACAAAAGGAGCTCTGAACACATAATTATGTAAACACAGATTTACTCTCCGACTTAAAGGTGGGGTCGTCAGGATCTGAGTTAGACTTCTACAACGAGGAGAAAGTGACATAGTCCAGGACCCGAGGGAGGACAGTTTAGCGATGGCGCTACAACACGCTACAGCAGGTCCGTTTGACAAGAAACACTTCTGTTACAGACACTTGTCTTACTTTGTTAAAGCGGTTTACCTGTCCAGCAGAAAGGTTACAGGGTCACCAAGATCCCCAAGCGTCCCCCATCGTTTATGTTGACCCGGCTTTTTAGCTCTTGTCCGGTCTACCTCCATTTTAAGCGCCCGTTATTCCTCAAAAACTGGTCTGGGTGGTCCATCTGTCTATCATCTCCTCTGTCCATCTCTCTATACCCGGCTCAGTCTCAGCAGATGACGAGGAAACCTAACTCGAGTATTTGTTTACATCCTACCAAAGAAGAGGAAGAAGGCGACACACGGAGAGCCTGAAACCAGACAGAGAGGTGCAACTCAGAGTATCCCAGAATGCTTTGTGCTCAGAAGAGGGAGATGAGAGAGCAGATAGAGAGTCTTCTTCAGGAGCCTCAGCGGTGTTCAAACACTATCTGTTAATAAATCTGCGACCACACACACACACAAACACACACACAAACACACACACACACACACACACACACACACACACACACACACACACACACACACACACACTCAGAGGAGATGAAATGATCAGAGGTAGTCAAACACTTGAACTCCGTCCTGAAGAGTTTCTCCGCCCGCTCTCTTCTTTTCCACAGAGTTTCTCGTTCAGACGGACTCGAGTCAAACGAGAGAAGAATCAGAAAATCACTGAAACTCTTCGATTGACAATCAAGCTTAAAGCTGAAGAGGTCTGAAGTGTCTGAGGACTCATGGTGGCGTCATCTTCACCCCTGACTCTCTCACTCTAACCTGCTTCCTCACCTCCTGATAAACTCGCCGGTTCGACTCCTCTCTTTGTGTTTCTGCATCTGTTTCTTGTAAATGACCTCCTGACGGCTCTGTTTATCCACCCTGAGCCGCACAACCATCTCCACTCAGATTTAATATCAAATTATGCTGTTCCACTCTTTACCCGGCTGCAGCTGAAACGCAGTGCTGCCCGCCGGTGCAGAAACGTCATCTTGTATTTATGTTAAAGCGATTGTGGAGCGGGTGGGAGCCTCCTCTGTGTGTTTAGTTCTGGGTTGAACCTGAGACTCCAGATAAAAACCCACTTTGTTTTTTTTTACGGAGGCTCACGGCGCTCCGCAGACTGATTTCATTTCACCCCTGGAGGCGGTGTAACTTCAGAAAAATTGACTAACAGGTTTTCTTGTCACTTCCTCCTCTGAGCTTCATGTTTTTGACATTTTCTGATATGAGTGTGGAGGAGTGGACTCTGGGGGGCTGCAGGTGGGTCGACAGATTCAACCAGACAAGACAAAACAGAGAAAAAACAACAAATGGCTGCGTCTGCCGGAGGCTGGAACCAGAGCGCTCAATCCTCTGGGGGCCGCTGTCCTTTCAGAGGCAGGCAACACACACACACACACACACACACACACACACACACACACACACACACACACACTGCTCAGTCAGCGTGTGTGTGTGTGTGTTCGTATTCTCTCAGTCCTATAGAGGTATACTCTGAGGGGGCTGCATAAAATCTGGTTCAAGTGCAGAGCTGCAGCGACTCTCTCCGGGATTCAGTTTGTTCCTGCAGATGAATAAGAGCAGAGAGAGACTTCTGATCTTTTTAGTTTGTTCTTTTTATTAAAGTCGGCTTTTTCTGCCTGACTGTCACATTGAATTTAGACTCATTTTACCTGCTACAAGAACACAGACTCTGAAGAAGGTCTCTCAAAGTGTATTTTGATTTTCTGCATGTGGGGAGATCTTAAAAAGAAGAAAAGGTCTGCAAATGTTTTTTTTAAAAAACTAATGAGGTTCATTTCCAACAGGTTCGTCACCTGACTGGGTATTCAGAGAGGCTCAGTCTCTGATGGAGCGTTCACATCAAGCATGAGTAAAATCATTCACGTGAATGAATTACATGTAAATTCAATGCAAAGACGCGATTAGACACTAGTACTATTCTGGCGGCGCAAATGATGCAAATTGGGAAAATTTGCGTTATTCGTGCCAAAGATGCAAAGTTGTGTGATTTGCGTGAATGTCACGAATTTGCGTAAGTAAAAAATATCTCAACTTGAGCGGATATTCGCGTCGCGATAACCAATCAGCATGAAGATTCCAGGGTGATGTGCGGTAACTGTCAGGGTGATTTTCTTTCGCCATGTTTTGTTTACCATCATTTAGGCTCCGGAAACATGTTGTGCTTTGTTATTACCCTACATAGACTCTCCTTTAGGTCAACAAGATGCGAGCAGAATGTTTGGAAACGTGGACGGCTAAATATACTTGAACAGTCTCAGACAAATCTCTGTTACTCTTGAGGCAGGATGAAGCTGTAACCCAGATCTGAGACCAGTAAAGCTTGTCAAACTGATTATTCGTGTGAACCCTCCATTCTGTAAAGTGTGAACATGGACATCCTTACAGTAATGGACCAGTTCAGAAGTTCACTGGTGTGAAAATATAAACGCAAATCCTTTCACTCACAGTAGACAGATGGACAGGCGCTCTGCAGCTGGGATAGAGCGCCAATAATCGGTATCCTGGAGGGATATCCTGACACCGACCCTCACCAACAGGTCGTCAAATTGGGTTCGGGTAACCTGAAAATACTGCTGGAAATGGCCGTCATCCAGGCGCAGCTATGAACCATGAAAAAGGAGACCAGGTAGAACCAGGATCCAGAACCACTACAGACTTCTCTGGACCTGAGTCCATTTAAGGTGGACCGAGGGGACGAGGAGAACTGTCCTGAGGTCTGATGGATCGAAATCTGACCTTGTTTTGGAAAGGACAACTGGACTTAGTTGAGACGTTTCTCCTTAGGCGAAACGTCTCAAGTAAGTCCAGTTGTCCTTTCAACAAAGAATTAGAAATCATAGATGCTGCATCCTCAGTTTTGTAGAGGGACCACCCGGCTTCTTCTCAGCTCCCAGTCCAAGTCCATCATGAGGATAATCAGAGTCCATGTCATCTGTGAAGTCTCCGTTAATCCTGAACAATATCTTCAGGTTTAGGAGCAACATCTGCTGCCATCCAGACGATAAACTCCAGATGTTCAGCCGTCCAAATCTCTTCTTCTTCATTCAGTCAGAAATTTTCTCTCTTTTGTATTTTATCAACTTTTCAAACTTTGATGGTTCTGTGAAACTTTTCTGAAGAAGTGATGTTCTCCTCTGAGTCGGAGCCTGCAGTCGTCGTCGTTTCAGAGTCATTTAGCAGAGATCTTTGGTTGAAGTCGAGCTTCAGGGCGTGTTTGTTAAAAAAATACTAGTGCGGCATCCTTCAGATTGAACCTTCAGGCCATCGCCGAGTGTTCACGTCTCATTTCTCTAATTTTGTTTTATTCTCCTCTCATCTCCGTTTTCTTCACCTTACCTCGTGTTGCTAAATTTCTCACCTGTCATGTTTGTCACTCGGGCTCAGAGGAAAAGAAAATAACCTTGGATTTTATTCAAAAATTGTTATTCAGTTTGGCTTTTCCTCCAAAATCAGACTTTACCAAAATCCCTTAATGATCAAAAATCTGAAAAATGCTCTTTTCTCTCGTATTTAATGGAGAGATTTGAAACCTGTCCTGTGGTGACAGACGGTTTTGCTCCTCTTTGGTTTGGGAGGCTTTTGGAGTTAATGATTCCCAGGGAGTGACTGATCGCACATGTAGAAATAATTCATGGAGGTTTTTAGCGACAGCTGAAGGACACTGATGCTGCTGAATAGTTAAAATCCTTCACTGCAGTATTTATGCTCTCCACTTGATTTCTAATCTCCCCTGAGGAGGAGGAGGAGGATCGACGTCGTGTTTTAACTCTGGACTCTTTTTATCTCGAACACATCATCAGATCAGAAAAGTTGAACCGTTTAACAGTCTTTGACTGTAGCCTGCAGCCACGCCCACCAATGATGTCATACAGTCCTGCAGCCACTCTCCAATCACGGCTCAGGAAGACGAAATGCTCGACAACATTTACAGGCGTGTTTTAGGCTGTAAATGATCCTGTCCTGCAACCCGTGCGGCGATCATAAGCGGTTTGCATGAACCACATGTTCAGGATGAGCTTTAAAGGCATGGTTGACGATTGGAGAGATTCTTAATTATTATGAACCTCGTTTCTATGCCGATCATGGTCCTGTAGTGCGATCGCCGTGAAGAGAAAAAAGATCGGAAAAAATACATTCACCCTTGCAGGTATGGGGCTGCAAAAACATTGACCAATGGGAGCCATCCATCCCAGACAGCTCCTATTGGTCAATCTCCTGCTCCGCCTCTCCATCCAATCACCTCGCTGTATTCGTCACACCCCTCTCCCGTAGTCCCGACTCGTCCCCTCCCACTCTCCCGACCCTCCTCAGAGCTCTGAGTGGCTAAAAGTAGCGTAGCAGCTTAGCGACAGGAGCTGAAGAAAACACAAGCGGACAGAAGAAAGGGCGGAGACGAAGAGGAAATGAGACCAAGCGAGGAATCTAACTGGAATAAACATCAGGTCATCCTTTGAGCGGTGGAGAAAGCTCCGCCAGGATGGGGGGTGGGACGCTTTTTTCAAATCTGCCTCAACGACTCAGATTTTTTCAACTGCTTCTCCGATCGTCAACTACGACTTTACGATGATCTGAAGGGTTAAACTGGAACCATAAACAGACTTCAGCCGGATGAATTCTCAGATCCTCATCAGTCTGCGGCGCCGACCTCGTCTGATCCTCAGACCGACTGCTGTCTGTTCGAGCTCCTCTAATAACTAATCACCCTCAGACGGCGTTTATTGACCTGAGAGACGGCGAGGCTGCTCAACCGGAGACCTACAACACACACCAGCGCACGCCACGCTGCTCTAATTACAGTCAGCATCTCTTATGCATTCTGGGTCGTCTCTCAGTGTGACAGCGATGAATCTGCTCGTTAATTGTAGGTGATTGATAATTAGAGCTGAGTCAGGAGTCCTGATTGCTGCTCATGTGAAGAGCTGCTAATATCTGCTTTTTGGGAGGAGGAGGAGGAGGAGGAGGAGGCGGAGGAGGAGAAGGAGGAGGGTGTTTCCATCGGTGGACGGAGCTGAAATGTTCGACTGTTGTATTAAATTCACAGAAGAAAATAGACGTGATTTCAACTCATCTAAATTCTGGGTTATCAGCGTGTTTCAAACCAATTAATGCATCTGATCTCTTCGTATTAAACCAGCTGATCCAGGCTGATGTTGACACGCCAGGTTCAGCCTTTCTACTCAAATCCACTGGACCTGAACTCACATTTTTCACTTTTCTTCAGCCGTTGATCATACCCTCTGAAACAAGTCCTCACAGGCTGATATTTATGTTTCAGCAGCAGGATCACATGACTCTTTTCTGCCCTGAGTGAATAACTGATACTGTTCAGAGAGGCAGAGTTAGCGTGCTCGGCGTAGAGCGTGGCGATGTCTCTGGCGAGTTTTTTGTAGGACTGAGATAAAGAGGGCGTGTCATGAGAGAGCAATGAGGGTGACCTCATCTTCTGGCATCCATAGACGGGCTCCAGGAGCAGAACTGTAACTTAGGCTGCGCTCCAGTTACCTTGGAAGTTGGATGCCGGAGATGGAAAGGATGTTACACCTGAGTTGACGGCGTTCCAGTTAACAAGTTGAAAAACCAACATGGACGCCTACTGTTCGCTGTTGTCAGCTGCTGTTTGTTGTTGTTAGCTATACCAGTTGTAAAAAACGCATAACACAGTATTTTACTCCTACAAACACCATAGCACCATGTTCACAGTTAGACGTCGGGCAGAACAACATGAACCACTTATTTAATTTCACAAAAACAAAACAGAAGTGCTAATAAATAAAACATCCTGAGAGCTTTCACTGTCACTCTCTAATGTTGATGCACTGCGCTGCCATCTTGGATTATGACGTTGTCGTCAAGTCGGGGTTGGTGAGGATCGTCTGACTTCAGGGGGGTGTTCCAGATGAAGTCCGACTCGGAGTTTGGAAGTTAGTTCCAGTTAAAATAATCTTCATTTCCTCGAACAGGCGAAGATGTGTAGGTATCAGACTTACGCACCCCTGAGCGCTATCCTGGGTCACCTGGGATTTGCACAGTTTGGGTACGAGGAGAAAAATGACGCTCGTGTTGCAGGATGTTTGCATCGGTCACTATTTTAGTGAAACAGAGATTGTTGAAGAGGATATGACTGCAGGAGAAAAGGTGGAGGTTGAATGAATGACCCGATTTGCTGCTTTGACTCTAAAAATAAGGTTAAAATCATCTTCATTAATCTCTCTCTGTTTTCTCTCATTAAGAGTTCATAACGTTGACTTTTTTGTAACACAGTTTTGTAATCGTGTCTTATAGGAACAGACTTATGAATGAGCGAGCAGTTGGTAGTTTCTTATTTTTCCTCCTTTGTTCGTATAATTTCACCCAGAGTCTGCAGAGCACTGATAATAAAAAAACCTCCTTATGTTTATTCAACATGAAACAGCAGCAGCAGGTACATCAGCTCCACTTTCCACCGCGGGACAAATTCTACCAGCCATCCTCTGCCACCAGTTTCCCACCATGCAGTCCTTGACTGACAAAAAAAAAACACACACTTTCACACGCTCTTTTTTTATTTAACTGAATCATGAACCTTGAAAATTTTGTCATAGCTGAGCGAGTTGAAGTGGAACTAAAGTGGATTTTCTGCCACCTGAAGAGAAAAGTGCAGCTAAAAGGAAAATATTCACAGCGCTCGACGCGGCGCAGAAGCATGCATGAAGGGATTTAAACAAACAAACCATTAGATGCTTTTTTCCGCTGACAGATTTTTCTGTCTTTAACGGAGTATTCAGATGTTTGTGACTCTTACTTCTAAAGACAATATGGAGGAACATTTCTTCATCTGCTCCCTGCATCTGTGATATGAATATTTTTATATCATTTAAAGCCAGAGTACCGCCTCTATAGGCGAAATAACGAAATAACTCTCCCAGGTTCGTTAAGGCGGTTTAGACTCCATGACGCCGACACTTTCTTACTTTTTCAGGACAGGCGTCTAATCTGAATAATCCTCACTGTCTTATTTCTACTCCAACGTGTCTTTTAAGGATTCATTTCAGCAACAATCACCTGAGAAACATCTTATTTCAAGATCCCAAAAATAAGAAGTGAATTGATCGAAGCGTCACTGAGTCGCTCCTCATTCTTTCTCCTCCTCTTCAGGAGTGTCAACTCTTCCTTTTTTTAGATATCGAACATAAACAAGCAAACCGCCGACTGATCAGGATCCTGCAGAAAGCACCGAACACGCCAGCTGCAGTGAAGTGCAACAGAGCGAGGGAACAGGCGACATGTTTTCATTTAAGTTGGCGACGGATGTTTGTGGGAAGAAAAACGCAGAAACGCTCCGGTTTGATCCTCCTCCTTCCATCATCATGTCGGCTCCTGTTTTTTCCTCGCGTGTCTGTCTGCATGTTTCAAACACCAACACAGCCAGCTGTTATTAATGGGGGAGCCAAAGGTAAGCCATTATGCATCAACAGGCGACCCGGTTGCCATGGCAGCCCGCGAGCCTGTAAGTGCTGGCCGCTTTTTACTGAGAGCGCGTGGCGATAAAAGCGGCGGGGTTTAAACTCAGGGCCATCGCAGCTGAGAGATGAACAGAAACCTTATCAGCTGAACTTTTACTTCCTGTCTGAAGTCTGGGCTGTTATTGGAGTTAATCTTCCTCTGCAGGGCACCGTGAGGATGAGGAGGAAGAGGCGCTGATAGCAGAGAGAGACTCGAGTCACAGACAGGCTTTGTGATCCGGCGTCTGTCGAGTTTATTTGCATTTACAAATAATTCAAGCTGAGATGGAAACAAAAGAAGTAAAACGAAGAAAGAGATCGGAGAACGGCGGAGAAAAGCCTCGAGGGACTCATGAGAAGACAAATAAAGCAGAGAGGAATCAGCGGAGATGTGAGGTGAGAGGAGAGAGACAAAACGGCGAGGAGAGAGAAAGAGGCGAGTAAGGAGGGAGGAGGAGTGTTTAAAAATAGGTGAAGAAGAAGAGGAGGGGGGTGTAAATCTGTAAACAGATGCTCAGACAGCCGAGCATGAGGAGAGAGTGTTTATTTATAGAGAGAGGAGGATTCTGGGTAAATTACTACAGATAGTGAGTCAGGTGTGTTTCCAGGAACGTGTTCAGTTTTCCGAAGAGCGACAAAATCTCCTTTAATCTGCAGCAGGAGGGAAAAACCAGAAACCAACACAGGCCGAGTCCTCCAGGCAGGAGAGGTCAGGGTTTTGGAAACTGAAGATCTGCCGTCTGGATCATCTGGTTAAACTTATCCACGTCATTAAAGACAGACAATTAGAAAACAAGCAGTTCTCACTTTGACTTTGGAGGAGGCGGGACTGATTCATAAACCCACCTCACCTCCAATAATCTCTTATTCAAATGCTTTCAATCCGGTTTCCGATCACAACACAGCACAGAGACATTGACCTCCTCCTCTCCTCAGACTCTGGACGCCTCACCATCATCATCCTCCTTGACCTCACAGCAGCCTCTGATACCATCAACCACTCCATCCTTCTCTCCTGACTGAAATCCTCAGCCCTCACCTGGATCCACTCCTACCTCACCAACCGTCACCAGTTCATCAGCGTTCAACAGCTGCACCTCCTCCACCACCGCTCCTCTGTCCCAGGGCGTCCCCCAGGGATCGATGCTTGGTCCCCTCCTCTTCGTTCTCTACAATCATCCATCATTACAGACTCCAGTTTCACTGTTACGCCGACGACATCCAACTATACATCTCCACCAGCACCACCCACTCCACACTCAGCATCTGTCTCACTGAGATTAAAAAATGGATGCAAAAAAAACTACCTGAAATTGAACAGTGAAAAATCAAACATCATCATCACCATCGGACCCACATCCCACTCCAGAATGACCCAAAACTTCAGCCTCACCGTCACTAACTGCACTCTGCCGTCCTCCCCTCACATCCAGAACCTTGGAGTCATTTTTGACAACCAACTCAAGTTTGACCGCCATATTAACCACGTCATCAGGACCGCCTTCTTTCACCTCAAAAACATTGTCCATCTCCGCCCCTCACTCAATCAATCAAACTTTATTTATAAAGTGCTTTTCCAACAGGAATGTGTCTCAAAATGCTTTACAGTCTTGTTAAAAACAAAAACAGAAAAACTATCCCAGATGCCTCCTTACCCCCCAGCCCCTTAAAATTGATCCTAAAACAGACAGGGAGCCAATGCAAAGATCCTAAAGATCATATTGTGTTTTTTGAACCTTCTACATTGTTGGTTTTATTTCTCAAAATTTTCTGTTTTAAATTTGTGTTTTTTTCTTTGTAAAGCGTCTTTGATCACCTGTAAAAACACATTATAAATAAAATATTATTATTAAAGACAGATGATTAGAAAACAAACAGTTCTTGTTTTGACTTTAGAGTCGGCGGGATTGATTCATGATGTCAGCCCACGCCCTCCATCGCTTAGCGTTCACTACAACCCTAAAATAGTGACAAAAAAACAGCGTCTTTAAAACGTCTCCTGTACGACTCAAACTAAGCGCCATGGTGGGATTCGAACCCGTGCGGCGGTGGTCGTACTCACCCATGCGGACGGCGGAGAGGGTGTTGGCCTGGCTGAAGGAGAGCGGCGCCATGGTCAGCAGCAGGACGACGACGTAAATCGACAGCAGCAGTGCTGGCAGAGCCGGCATCTTCCACTGCTCCTCATGGAGAATGGTCTGCTGGCTGCCTGTACCGCCACCTGCAGGACAGGAGGACTCATTACAACAACATCCAGAACATTTTAAACTCTGACATGATTTCACAGCTCCTCTTCATCCTTCAGTTACGCTGCTGAAAAACGTCAAAATAAAGACGAATATCTCAGAAAACCACAACAGTCTTTGAGAGCTCGGCAGCCGGTCGTCGTTTTAGGAACAGCTGCTGAGGATCTGACACAGACTCCTCCGATCTGGACTGTCAAAATAAAACTCAAACTAAAGACAGATTTAAAAACAGCAAGCAGAAAAGACAAATAATTCATGTCAAACTGGTTGAAACTTTAATAAAGTTGTCCATGCGCTGATTTAGAGATTTATTTGTCTATTAGGAGACCCGGTCTAAAAGAGACCCCGTCTGCAGAAAACTGTAGCCCAGCTTGTGCGCCGGTTTTTCCCGCAGCTTCGGAAATACTGGACAATACAGCAACAAAAGTTAAAAACTCCCTGAAGTGGCACTGTTTGATTAGTGGTCTGAGTGAATGAAGCTGTAGCCCTTGATGCAGTGGTCGCTGGTTTGACTCTCGACTCCTCATATTCCCCCTTTCTCTGTCTTCGACTGTCTCAGTCTAACTCTTGTTTTCATGACTTCCTGTGATAGTTTGATAACCCTGTTTTTGATGAGGCCTCCTCTATAGACAGTCACATGTTCAGACCCCGTCCTCGTCTGACTCGTCTATGTTTTTATTGAACCCGATCAGACATCATCATCATCCTTATTAGTACTTTGGTGACCTCCTGTAATCACCTGCGTCGTCTGTCTCTGACTCCATGAACTCATAAATGAAAACACCTAAAGAGACGCTCCGGAGGGAAAACTCAGGACTCAGCGCTGACAGCTGTTATTAACCTCGGGTTATCTGTGGTTAACTCTGATCATGAAACGGAGATTTAATCATTTTCCCGGTAAAGCAGAGGTGAACAGAGGTGTTCGTCAGGTAACAGGAAGCATTTACACACCGCTACATGATCACTGTGTTACACAAACGCAGCAGAGATGAGCGTCTGAAATAGCAGCCAATGAGAACCTTCGAACCAGGAACCACACACCTGAAGAATATTTACTAATCTACTCTGGAAAAAAACAGATAACAACCAGATCAGCTTGGAATTAGTGAGACTTATAGAGACGTAGATCTGCTAAAAATCAGCAAATGGTCATACTGTAGTGTGATAGACGTGGTCTAGTAGAAGAAGAAGAAGAAGAAGAAGAAGGAGGAAGAAGAAAGAAGAAGAAGAAGGAAGAAGAAGAAGAGGAAGAAGAAGAGGAAGGAAGAAGAAGAGGAGGAAGAAGAAGAAGAAGAAAGAAGAAGAAAGAAGAAGGAAGAAGAAGAAGGAAGAAGAAGAAGAAGGAAGAAGAAGAAGGAAGAAGAAGAAGAAGAAGAAGGAAGAAAAAGAGGAAGAAGAAGAAGAAGGAGGAAGAAGGAAGAGGAAGAAGAAGAGGAAGAAGAAGAAGAAGAAGAAGAAGAAGAAGAAGAAGAAGAAGAAGAAGAAGAAGAAGAAGAAGAAGAAGAAGAAGAAGAAGAAGAAGAAGAAGAAGAAGAAGAAGAAGAAGAAGAAGAAGAAGAAGAAGAAGAAGAAGAAGAAGAAGAAGAAGAAGAAGAAGAAGAAGAAGAAGAAGAAGAAGAAGATCGCCACAGATGTAGTACGGAAAAAATTGCTGCTGTTCCGGCTGCGGTGGAAATCCCGGGTAACATGAATCTGGTTCTGCTCGAAGTTTCTGCCTGATGCATCATGAAAACAAAAACAACACAAGAGCTCGTTGATCAAATTTACTTCCAGATATTCTGTTTTTTAACTGTTTTTATGCCGTTTACTATCACTAGTACATTTCAAAATAAAAGCACAACAAACAATCGATTACTGAGGCAGTGTCTCCTAAAATCATAATTTTGAATATCTTAAGAAATAAATGATGATGCAGAGAAATGACTCAAGAGTTGAAGTATGAGCAGCTGATCCATAATCCTGATCATGAGATTATTATTCTTACAAGTTGTTTAACACTTCAGATAATCTGCTGAATGTGCTTAAAGGCTTATTTTATGTTTTCTTTTTAACTCTGACAGCTTTGTGGTACGTTTGTCGTAAGAGGACAGAGAAGAAGAGATTTGGAACAAAGATCTCCATTAAAAGAGACGTAGAGGTTTCTGTAGAGAGGCGGCGTCATTTTAAGTCACATGTGATGAAAAACTCGCCGCTTCAGTGGATTTAATCTGAGAGGACAGCGAGAGAAACAGCATGTGTTTGAAAAAGATTAGACGGTGGAAAGAGAGAGAGAGAGAGAGAGAGACGGATGTGGACAGGAGAGAGAGGAGAAGACACGGACTGTAAAAGAGAAATTAGATTAAAACACAGAAGAACAAAAGTGAGAGACAGAGAGACGATCACATGACGCAGAGAGAGAGAGAGAGAGAGAGATGTAAAACGACTGAGCGAGCGAGCGAGCATGACGGAACGAGTCCAAATCTTCAAAGTAGATTAGAGAGACTGAAGCGAGATTTTTTCATTAGCCTGGGCGTGTGTGTTTGTGTGTGTTTGTGTTTGTGTGTGTTTGTGTGTTTGTGTGTGTTTGTATTCAAGTTTTCAGATAAACAACACAGAAACACCCCACCCCTGTTCAGTCCCATCATGCAACTGGTCCATCTTTTCCATCTCAGCGCCGTCCCTCTAACCCCTAAAAACCACCGGCACCCCGCCCCCTCTGATCTGGTTAACCCGCCCCGCGCTAAATGTTTATCGCCGCCCCGCCAATGAGGCGTCCCGCATGAATTTAAATGAGACTCTCAGATGGAATTTAGATTGGCGAGAGGGAGAGAGAGGGGGCGAGAGAGTGCAGAGAGGAGCGGTGTGAGGGTTTCTCTTCTAAGTGATACAGATGGTGATGATTACGATGATTGAACTCTTTTAGAATAAATCACTGATCGTTATTCTGCGGCCTGATTATTAGGTGTCATGTTGAGAACCGCCTCCAGCCTCCGTGTTTTCTCTTCCTGCAGAGTCATTGTGGTAAAAAAACAAACACAGACAGACCTCTTATTTCTAAAACCATCGGATAAAGAGTCCAAAGACCGTGGACACTCTTAGACCTTTATGTAGACCATCATGGACCCTCGTAAAGTTTTACAAACACTTATGGAGCCGGATCGATCAGTCTGGACCATCACGGGTCTATACTGAACACTTACAGACTTCGACTGATCATAACCAACACTCATGGACTATCTGAGACCACCAGAGACACTTGAAGACACCAACACACCATCATGGACACTTAAGACCACTAATGGACCATAAAGGACTATCAAGGACACTCACTGATGGACCATCAGGGACACCAACAGGCCATAATCGACTCATTGGAACCAAATCAGACACCCATGGACCTTTGGGAGACTCTTGGATAGTGGACCATCACAAACTGAACCCTGGTGGACCACAGAAGACCTCCACAGACCCATACAGCATCAGGGACTATCATGGGACCAGGACAAAACCTCATTGACAACAATGGACCCCCACACAAGGATCCTCATGGACTACTGAGAACCATTATCAACTGTATTGGACTCTTGAGGGTCATTACAGACAGATAAAAACCACATAGAAGCTGCACATCGACCTACAACAATCAGATCTATAATCACACTCTACATGTTCAGACAGTATCGCACTAACATACACTCTAACACACACACACACACACACACACACACACACACACACACACACACACACACACACACACACACACACACACACACACTGACTGAAAGCCTATTGACGCCTCCAGGCATTGACCTTTGCAGCTATATTATGTTCCTGATCTATGTGACGTATTTCTTTATTCGTAGATCTTTGAGTCTCCAGAGTGATACGAATAAAACAGACTGTGAATGGTGACATAAATGACACCAGATGTCAAGATCAGATCACTGAACTCCTCCGGCGAAAGACCCACTCCGATGAAAATCTCGTTTTTCTTGTTGTCGACACATTTGTGTTTTCATTTTTCTGATGTTAGAGGATTTATCATGAAAAAAATAAGTGTGAAATTTCATTTCTGAGTATTTCTGCATTCAGGTCTCTGTGAATCTCTGGCGGACACAAACAGCAGGTTCAGACACAGTGAGATTTCCTACATAGCAAATCCAAGCTCCGCCCCCAGAGGCCATACTCGGAAAAGTAGAGAGGACAATCGTGGAACAAGCGTGTGTGTTAGCGGATTACGATGCTTGTAAGAAAGCTAATTATGATATTAACTTTCATTGTGTCCCTAAAGACATTAGTGTCTGAGAGCTGAATAGCAATGTTAGGCTACAAGCTAGCGTGACGAGGAGTGTACAGAGTGGCGCTGTCTCCGCCCATGACTCAGAGGTGAATTGTTAATAAGCTGCTGGAGCTCTGCAGAAGAAAAGTCCTTAAAAACAACACAGGTAATGTGATTTTGGATAAAAACTTCATAATCACAATTTAAAGACCTCTGAAAACAAACAACAACAAAGAAAAAGATCAGAGTGGGACTTTAAGGACTTTGTCTTCAGTCTTGACTAAGGTAGTTGGACAAAGTTTCTTTTGGTGACAAGAACTTGTGCAACAGGTGATCAAACAACCTAAATTTAGATGACATAACCGTACCAGTAAAACAAGAACTGATCCAGATCTCCAGAACTCAGAGGGTGTGATAGAAAAATAATAGGATGTAATTAGGACAGGCAAGTAACCCCAATTTCCACCGCGTCTGGTACGGCGGTGAAAAGGCCATATGCACTGGACAAGTCAAAGGTTTTCAGACTTCATTTCACCTTGTTGAGATCGTGGATGAGGAGACGCTGATTTTAAAAATGTGGAGGTGGATTTCCTCCTCTGGAAGGACACAATCTACTGCTTATATGTCTATGTTACTTGTTATCACACGATTGCACATGAATCCG